CTGTTTTATACATCTTCCATGAACTTTCTTAACGTCTGAATAGGTCATTGGCCTAAAATGATCCATGCTGACATTTTCTTTTTGGGAACATGCCCAGCGTAATGCTTGACGCTTTTTCAGGTGCACAAGGCAAAACAGTATTGTATGATTTGGCCATCATGAACTTTAAAGGGTCACACAAGGCCACTGGCCTTAAACGAGCATCAGTAACCTTTTGCTTAGAGCGGATATCTATGTTCAAGGCATTTGCATGATAAGGTATTAGGGCACTTAAGACACCAATCTGAAGTTCGCCCTTGTTTGACTTCATTTGATCCAAAAGGTCGTGACCTAGAAACCTCAAATTTTGACACAAGTGATTTCACATACAGGCCAAACACTCTGTAAATTTGGTGCTTCTAGCTCACTGAATTTTTGATATCTAATTGCATCAAATTGATCCCGCACCTGAACGAATGGCATTCAACCAGCCAACCGGGCGCTTGTTAGCCCTTGCTTTGGTAGGGGATGATGTAACCCCCAAAGTTTGTTTGCAAATACCTCTCCAAAATATTGTGCAATTGCGACCTCAGCAGCCTTTGGAGGCGTCCATTGCGCGTGTTTTCAAACCAGAAACGTGTTTCTAGCTTTTCTGGTTTCGGGGCTACAACGGTTTTTTGAGGAAATCTGCGCGGCGATCTGCGACCCGCGCGGGCGGCGGGCGGCGACCAGCGATGCCGCGCAGAACGCGCGCTGCGGCCGACATCGTTACATTACCGGAGTCATACATCATGAACTTATTCCCAAAACACATAATGATATACACAGTTGCACTCAGAATTGAACAATATGCGTGCTTCTGTGTGTTTTGTGTCGCGAGATGGCGTGGTTTGGTAGGTATGATGTGAATTTAAAAAGCGCGCTTTTATCAAATTCCACCTTTAGAGTGCCATAACGGGAGCAATGATTGACCTATTACAATGAACTTGTGTGTATGGGCATGGAACCAATGTGTGACCAGCAGCCGTCCGCAGACAGTTAGCTGTTTACTTTTGCAAATACGGCTATACGCAGATGCGCGTGTCAATTGCAGCCATACAACCAGTTCTTCCCTTTGCGCTTGGACTCTTTGCTCTTACTGAGTGATGAAAGCGATTAAAAGTATGACTTTTGAGATGGAACCCTGGAAGCTTGCCAATTCCAAACCAGCGGCAAGAATGGGCGACGCGTTATCCAACAGATGGCAGTCGTCCAATGGGCCTTGGCACATACGTTTTCAGGCTGAACAGGAGACCAGCGTTCTCTGACCAGTCCGCGGCACGCCTCTGTAATGACGCCCACCGCATCTGGTCAGATCGAGCCGCATCTGGTCAGATCGAGCCGCATCTGGTCAGATCGAGTGATTAATAGAACGGCGTTAGGCGTTAGGCGCTCTTACTTCTCACGCAAGGGCTTACAATGCGGTTGTTAAGCTTTGCTCACTATTTGTCAAAGTGCCGGCCATCCCCAACCGTTAATGTTCCACGGAAATCAAAAGCATATGTCACCAAACTATGTTAAATCCCAGGATTTTCTAACGTAAACGTGACGTACGTCTTCGTGCTCCCTTTTATGGAGCACCAGCGGCTGCAGAGAAGCCATATTAACACTCAGAGGCCATGGCGCAACCACGGTTCGAACCCGGACCTTGAAAAGGCGCTAACCACTCGGTCATGTCCCTCATTCCCAGGACGTGACTGCCCTGCTCCGAAAAAAACAAAAACACAAAAAACGGAACTGTCGGCAGAGCGCCACAAGATATAGTTAACGCTAGCTCTGTCAAAGCCCTGTCATCGCGGCACCCTACATCTGGTGATACTGACCGACACCGCGTGCCCTGAGGACGCGCCAGGACACACGGGTCATGCCAGCAGCTCAACCCGCCCCAGGCCACGTGGTGCACATCGGACTCGCGCGATCATGCCGGCAGCGGTGACCAGGCGCTGGCAGTCCCGGCGCTTCCAGTCAGGTCTCGACATCTCGGCACCATCGGACTCGCGTGATCGTGTCGGCAGCGGTGACCAGGCGCTGGCTGTCCCGGCGCTTCCCAGTCAGGTCTCGACATCTCGGCACCATCGGACTCGCGTGATCGTGTCGGCAGCGGTGATCAGGCGCTGGCAGTCCCGGCACTTTCCAGTCTGGTCTCGACATCGCAGCACGACGAGGCCCATGGATCTAGCTCAGTGACCTGGCTCATACAAGCTTTCCGTCTAATATCAGCGAGTAGCCGCACACTGGCCGCGATAATCGATGCTGTGCGTCAGCCCCCAGCTGGCATCGCCACTGCCGGCAGTCGCTGCGGGCCTGGCGGCGAGGGCGCTCGATGGACGGCACCGAAGCACTGCAGCGTGTAGCAAGCTAAGCCCGCAGCCGTCGGCTGTCTGTGCAGTGCACACGCACATTTTACTGAGGGGCGAGCCCGGGCAGAGCGGGCAGTCGGCCGCGCCGGGGGCCGGACAGGCAGCTGGCCAGCAGGCCGCCAGCTGGCAGGTCAGGCGTCTCGGGGCTCAGCGCCTCCTCCCGGAGAGCGGCTGGGCTCTGCCGCGCCAACTCCAGCCGGCAGCTACGGCAGCACCGCCCACAGCACCGTGTCAGAGCAGCGGAGGAGGCGCCCTGCTGCGACGCCGCCCAGCCCCACCCCTCCCAGCGCGTCTCAACATTCGGATTAGAGATGCACAAGCTATAAAACCTGACACGGACCCTGTACCGCCACCGTCCTACAGAAATATTTGTCAGGTTAGAGTCAACCACGTTTTACCGTTTCCAGCAGTGGCTCTGGCCTCAAATGTGTTTAATTTCAGACCTAGTACCGGCAAAGTACTGGCATTGTCAACCCAAACTCCGATGCAGTACCGCCGGTGCTGACAATGGGCTGCAGGTACCATGGTCCCAAAATATTGCATCTCTTATCTTAACAAAACATAAACCAGATACATACACAGTGCGCTATCATTTGAGAGCTGCGTACGACATGTATTTGCTGATTCTGCATTCGCCGCATTCGTCACGGACTCGGGTAGCCCCGCATTCGCCGCTACCCATGATGCGCCAGGCAACAGCAGCAAACGGCGCCGCGCCGCGCCACGCCGAGCTGACCGCACCACATACGTCAGCTGCTGGGATGCCACAGCCGGCTGACACGTACCGCAGCTTTTCGATGCTCCAGTAATGGGTGGCGCCGTTCTTTAGGTCCTGCACTTCCACGGCGACCACCGTGCGCGACGTGGGGTGCAGTGCATCCTCCTCGTCCTCGTCGGAGGAGGAAGAGGCGGAAGACAGCAGGTCGGCTGGCAGCGGGCTGTACATGGTGTGCGTCATCAGCGTGAACTGGAACTGCACCTGTGGCAGCGACAGAGGGCAGCGTCAGGCCGTCAGAGGCGCCGACACTGGAACTGCATTCGAGGCGATACAAGCTAACCCATTGAATACAAGCGCAGGACAGGACCGACTAGGCTCGTGGACTCGGCTGGGGCGTCACGCCTGCGCCGCGATGTTCACCTTCTTCTTAAGCTCGACGCTGATGGCGTTAGCCTCCTTGAGGAAAACGGCGTTGCCCCAGAGGTCGTCGCGGAGTGAGGTGAACTGATGGAAGCGCCACTTCTGGAAACAGGTGGCCGCCAGCTGGTAGTCGCGCTCTGTCCACGGCACCTCCCCCTCGAACAGCGGGTTACTGGGGGAAAGAGCAGCACTTGGATTGCATGGCCCTGCTGTGCGGCATGTCGCCCTCGAACAGCGGGTTCGCTTTGTGACAAGGCTCAGCTGGATCGCATGGAATCACTCCAAGACAACTCTCTCTCCGGAACTGGAGGCTCACCTGGTCATAGAGAATCACATAAATTAAATGGTCCCTTTCAGAAACTACAGGTTTGCCAACTAACACAGAAATGGCCTGCCGCGTAACGTCACCTTACGATCCCTTTAGAGAAATATCAACGAAGTAGCTCTTAAGAGCATGCACGTCACATCATTTTCGAACGTTAGAGCCACGACGTTCAATTACAAGGAAAGGCACTCGACTCGCGCCGGCTCAAGCGCAGCTTCTGCACAGGTACTGTCATAGGGCATGCTGAACGTCATCAGCAGCCAACATGTGTACCGTATATGTCGTCTTCCGTATTGAGCTCCTCGGTGTTTGTGTAGGAAGAGTACATGGACATGGTCATGCTCTGCTCCTCAACTTGCTTTTGGAGGGCGTCTATCCGGGCCTCGTAATTCTGAAAAAAAGACAAATGGTGAAGCTCATGCAGCGGACAAATCAGCTACGAACCGCGTGATGGTTTGCCCTCAGGGGACAATTACAATAAATCGCCTTCCATAAGCGAGATAGATATGGTTAACATTCTTGAGCTTCACTTGTCGACTCCGTTATGAAACCAGGTCTCCAGGATTTGTTACGAAGCGAGCTGGTGATCATCTACGTGAGCGTGCACACATGTCTCCCAAAACGATACCTGTCGCTCCTTTTCATATTCTTTCTTCCTTTCCTCCTTTTCCTTTCTAAACTGTTCCTCCATGTTCTCCAAGCGTTTCTCCATCTCTTTCTTCAGGTCGATGCCTTCAAAAAATGAACCGGCACTTTGTTATACACTTCAGATGAAATCATGCCAATCATATTAACACTATGTTCAAATCATGCGAATTGCTAGACTCTGGTAAGCGTAAAACCAATAAAATGTCGCACATTGGGGAAAAGAATAACATCTGAGTGAATCTGGGTTACTCTGAGTGACAAGTAGAAGCTCTGGTTCTCTTGCTAGCGTATCTAAACAGTTGGAATGAAAACACACGTGCCTACGTTTTGACCAAACACAGCCGCAATTTTCACACCAAAGCTCCCGAACTTCTGCAACGCATTCTCGCCAGCTTGACTGGTGTTAACTGCAGTGGAAACGCTCTGTCCTTTTATCGAAGGGCGGATTTTCTTGAACATCTCTAAGCTTAGTACTGCGATACAATCGCAACCAGTCCTGGACAAATATAAGTTAAGCTAGTAGCTTTGAACTGGCACCACTATGCAACTAATTGGGTAAAATACTATTTATCACTGAAAGTAACTAAGAAACAGCCCATTTTCAAAGCATTGTAGTGTTCAGCCTTGGTGTGGTTGGCATGACCAGCGTCAGAGCGACCAGGCACCGGGCGGCTGACGACGACGGGTCAATACCTTGCTTTCGAGCAGTTCCACCTGAGCAAATTGCCAGTCCAGGGACTCCGCAGACGGTGCTGACTCGTCCAATGCCCGGCCTCGCTTCTCCCATGCTGAAAACGCTCAGCGGCGTGAAACATATGAACAACACGCATTAGCTAACTCAATGACCAATGAAGAAGTTCGTCAAAAATCTGACTTGTCGACAACAAAAACGGAAAAAGTTAGGTGCGCGACGGGCGGGAACCGCTTTCAAAGGTAGGCCATACATGAGAAACATGCTTCATTCTCGTGAGTAGTTTGTGACAATGACCGTCAATGCTCCGCCACATGCCGCGGCATGTGCTACGGTTTGCGGGCGTGGCGCGCACGAGGCACCTGCAGAGGGCCGGAGCAACCGACCTTGCTCGGGTGTGTGAAGCGGAACACGTGGTTTGCCAGGATGACCCGGCATACCGGTGCGGTGAGGACCAGCGGCTGGCAGACGCTGCGGCCATTCACGTAACCACAGCGCGCCCTCGTTCGGGAATAGCATCACCACGCCCTCCCTGGACGACATGAATGGTCACAATCAGACGGCAAAACTAATAAAGGATTCGAAGATCACGAGTTGCTTTATACAACGCATGTACACGTTGAGCCCAATCATCTTTAAAGTAGTCAACTAACGGTGACACTATGTGTGGTTAAGATGTATTTGACTCGGATGGATAGTCAGGTAGGAGTCATTTTATCAGAATCAGAAAACACTGATGGAACTGATGGGGCCGGAGTTTATCACAACGACACCGTGGTGGAATAAGCCTTGGATGGGAACATGTGCACGTCTGGTCTCCCTTCTGGTCATTCTGCTCCTTTCACTGCTGACCGTCATAGGAAGCGGGATACGTTCTCTTCAGAGGCATGCGAGCACTGTGCAAAGAAGCGGTCACCGCTGCCGAACGACTTCACCAACGTCACCGTTACATAGGACGTCTGCGACAATGCTAACGCTCTGCACTTCATCACGAACCGGAGGCGCTAAGAGGGAAGTTTATCGCTGCAATCGCAACGACCCCAACAGCTGAACGTACCCTTCTCTTTCCCTTGCTCCCACCCCTCTCTCAGCGTAACTACAACGACCCCAACAGCTGAACGTACCCTTCTCTTTCCTTGCCCACCCTCTCTCAGCGTAACTACAACGACCCCAACAGCTGAACGTACCCTTCTCTTTTCCTCGCCCCCACTCCTCTCTCAGCGTAACTACAACCACCTCAACAGCTGAACGTACCCTCCTCTTTTCCTTGCTCCCACGCCTCTCTCAGTGTAACTACAACGACTTCAACAGCTGAACGTACCCTTCTCTTTCCCTTGCTCCCACCCCTGCTGCAGCGCGGATACCGTGACACAGTGTTGCGATGGTGTTGTGGTCGCTCCCACCCCTGCTGCAGCGCGGACGCCATGACACAGTGCTTGCGATGGTGTTGTGGTCGCTCCCACCGCTGCTGCAGCGGGAGACGCCATGACACAGTGTTGCGATGGTGTTGTGGTCGCTCCCACCCTGCTGCAGCGCGGATGCCGTGACACAGTGTGTGCGATGGTGTTGTAGTCGCTCCCACCGCTGCTGCAGCGCGGATGCCATGACACAGTGTTGCGATGGTGTTGTGGTCGCTCCCACCCCTGCTGCAGCGCGGATGCCGTGACACAGTGCTGCGATGGTGTTGTAGTCGCTCCCACCCCTGCTGCAGCGCGGATCCGTGACACAGTGCTGCGATGGTGTTGTGGTCGAACTGCATTCCTGGAAAACCAGGCCACGGGGTTCGATCGCGAGATCTCAAGATCATTCGAGATGGCGGTTGAGCCGCCCTCGACCCCTGACGGCTGACCTGTTCTCAAAGATGCAGTGCTCGTTGTAGATGTGCAGGCCGATCAGCTGGATGTCCTGCGGTATGTTGGCTTCTGCGGAGCCGACGCGCGTGATGCCCTCCTTGATATAGTAGATGAGACACTCGGACATGGACGGGTCCTCGTTCAGGTTCACCAGGTGCGGCGTCTGGAGAGGCACAGGTAGCCGGCTGGAGAGAGCACGGACCACGAGCGCGACGGCGCCAGCACCAGAGCTCAGACCAGCACCAGAGTTCAGACCAGCACAGGAGTTCAGACCAGCACCAGAGTTCAGCCAGCACCAAAGTTCAGATCAGCACCAGAGTCAGACCAGCGCCAGAGTTTAGACCAGCACCAGAGCTCAGGCCAGCACTTCAGGGCATACCATCGGCAGGTGCAATGACTTTACGAGCTTCTGCATCTAGTTATGTACCGTTGTTGGTAGCAGCATCACAAGTCCTAGAGGCCACCGATGCAAAATAAAACGTTATTCAGCCCTGAAAAATCACTGCTCAATCGTCCTCCAGCTGCTGGTCTTGGACTTGAGGTCTCCAAGTCCACAGCAAAGGCCGTTATCCTGCTTTCCTGTCAAAGTCAATGAACGTTGAAGGCAATTGAATTTGATGGTGCAACCAGAGTGGCGTTAACATTACCTTTTTTGAGAGAGAAATGCCCACAGTAGCACCGTCCTCCTTGAGGGCGATGCCCATCTCGGCGAACACGGTCTCTCTATGCCGGCGAATGTCATGTCGTCTGTTTTTCTCAGCTTCTCCTCCCAGGTCTCATTCAGCTCTGTCAAAAAACGAGCACAAGAGACCAGTAGAGACTGTCACGCGCACACCAGCTGTAAGTGTATGCAAACGCGACGCTCAAATACCGTCTGATCAGATAGGGTGCCTACTTCCATCGCGTGTCAATCTGCACTGCAGTAAATTCAGTTGAGTAAGGGCCAATCTTTGAGCCTTTTATGGTTCATTACCTCGTGCGTGTTAACTTTCGTAAAAGACTCAGTCTCAACCAGATAATAGTGGCTGCAGAATACCGCCACGCTTTATGAACAGCTATTACACAGTGAGCCGATTACTATTTCCAACAATGGGAAGCGCTTCCATTCGCCGGCTGACGACACATAGCTGTCACGACTCTAATGGCCGTCGGATCGCTCACAGATCTCCTCTTAAAATGGCGCCTCACAGTGGAATCAGGTATCGAGGCGAGAATGGCCGAACATTGACCTGTTTTGGGCGGCATGTGAGCAGGCCGGCCAGGGTCAGAGGGTTTCGCAAAGCCATTGGTCGATGTTGGCCCAAGCGATCGACCGTCACCCATCAGTGCTGAGGGTCCGGCCGGTTCTGACCAAAACTCTCACCCCGTCCTCCTCTCAACTCCTCAGAGGAGGTCACATGAGGACACCGAAGCCCCCCTCACCGGGCTAGGTCACCAGAGTCTACTGTCTTATCTTTCAAAGCTGCAATGCCACCTGTGGAGCCGTTCTGGCTCCGCCCCAGACCAGCCCCGGCCGTTATAGCGGGAGTGGTGGCATGCCCTCAAGCACCGTCTGCCGACCTGCCATAATTTTCTCGTTGACCTGCAGCTGATGGACGGCAGCCTTGGCGGACGGCGGCTCGGCCGGGTTGGCGTTCACCGTCTCCTCCGTGCAGCTTTGGTTCATGGCGTTGTTCCGTAGCTCCTCTGGGGAGCGGCGTAATGTCACTGGCCCAGCACTGCGGACCCCTTCCGGTTTCGTCTCGCCACACACGACAGCGTTGGCGTGACTGAAGGATGAATGGTATCTTCACCAATGCCCAGTACCTGCTGCAGCCCTGGCACTTTTCTGTTTGACAGCTGAAACACGTAAATGTTTACCACATGCACACGTTGTTGACGCACACGTGCGCCAACAACGCGTGCCTTGCGTGGCACACGTTGTTGGCGACGTTAACAACGCTACCTTGTGTGCGTCAGATCCATTACAATCCGCAACCACTCAAATGGGGTTGAGTTAACACACGAACCTCCTTCGAAAAGCTATTGACCATGTGGTCATGGCCTCGAAGAGGTGAACAGCGACAACGCTTTGGAAGCCACACCACGCAGAACATTAAGCACTTCTTCGTGAAGTAGGGTGTGGCGCAGCAGGCGTCACAAAACAGCATACCAGCCAGGCAGCCGCGCAGACTCCATTAAAGGGCGGCGGAAAATATGAAATGGCGAGGTGCCCCATGGCGTTTGTCTCACATTACGCCACCAAAATGAACCCTGCTTAACAGAAGGTTTCGAAAGGCCACTAAATGAACTATAATTCTATCTTAAACCAATGTAGATTTACGTTGCTTGGGCAGAAATCTCAATTTGTTGCATACCTCCTACAATGAGAGTGCACCTGCAGTTTCGATTGCAAACATCTAGTGAATGTTTATGTTTGAGACCTTTGTCTCGAGTGCAAACATTGTGCGCAGGAAAAACTTTAGTGATACTAGCACCATAGAATGCGTTGAGCTTGGCCTCAACTGGGGTAGCTTTGGCTGGGTACACAGCAGACATCTTTACAGTCGTCTCAAACAAAACGTAAAAATCTAAGCTCGCCCGTTTTATATTGACAGATCTAGAGCCCAAGTGCTTTGAGTCAGCATACTCGCAAGTGTATCACTACCAGTTTCTCGGCGGTCTCCACAAAGTGATTGATCGTTCGACACCGCAGTGGGAAGGACTCCGCCGCCCCGGGTCTCGACGGTGGACAAAATAAGCGGTAGCTGCGCTCTAACCACCGTGGGAGCGCCACACCTATCTACACATAGGTGCCGCTCACAATGAGCAAAGCAAGGTGCTGTGCATTGCAAAGATAGACTTGCAGCCTAGCGGGTTCAAAATCAGGGAAAACACGGATGTCAGTTTGCTTTGCGCGCAGAACGCCTATTCATCTTGACATCAGCACATACAGGCCGTGATGATCGGAGAAATGGAACGCCAGCCTGCAGTGTTGGGCGTCCATAGACTGAACTGGATAGCTGAGACAGTCGCAATAGCCCTTTTTCCTCGAAAAAAAACCAGGAGGATGGAGATATAGGATGGGTTAATATTTCGACAGCATGTCTTTATTGAAACAATAGCAGAAGTTTCTGCTTTTGTTTTCATAAAGGCAAGTTGCCGAAATATCAATCCAGCTATATACTCACTCTCCTGTTTTTCCTCCGAGGAATAAGGCGATTGCTGCCGTTTTATCTATGTGAATAATGTTCCTCGCAAATGCACTGAACAACTTACGCAATTTTGAACTGGATAGCTACAAACATTGATGGTCTGGCTGCCGGGTCACCTTCGCTTTGCTTCTGATACTTGTGGTGCTCTTTTGCTGCGCATATTTGCTGCATCAGACGACAGTTCTGATTGGTAGTGGCACCTACCGCTTGTGGTGGCGAGTAAATGTCAGTACTACCATCACTATGAAACGGAAAAGCACGCCGACATAAACCAACAGCTCGGTTTAAAGGCAGCACGTTTTTGCTGTTCTTGATAATCATGATTCCGGCTTGCGACCACGAACGACATGTACAAATGCAAATTCTCACAATCGACTATTGCAGAAAGCATAACTAGCAACAAAGCACCACATATATCAGTGGCGCGGCGAGAAGGATAACTCGAGAGGCGACACGTTGATATCTGTCACCGCCCCCTATTCTTCTACCGATTCTGAAGACAATGCATAACGGCCGATAGCGGAGCCTACATAGCGGAACTTGGCATAAAGCGATGCAAGCTGCAGAACAAATAGGCGGAAGACCGTTGCTACTCACGGGCCTTATGTCTATCGTTCGAGTAAATGACACTGCCGTCTGAAATGGCGCAGGATAATTATCAGTGTCAATAACTGTCATGATATATCCTTGCGTAGACCACTCAAGTGTTTCTGAACACCTTTCCTGGCGGCTAAACCCCCAGAACAAGTGAGTCCAGCAAGCAGCCAGCCAAGAGACCTTGCCACCGAGTCACCGGGTGCATCCTCGTCCCCCTCCCCCACAGCTCATCGTGTGCCGCTTACCCTCCTCGACCTGGACGCCCTCGGCCTTGAGCAGATCACGCAGTCGACTGATCTCTTCCCGCAGCTCGCGTATCATCTTGGCGTTAGCGTCCTCGTTCACCACCGCCTTGCACATGATCTGCTTGGCTCGGTCCGCGTATCTGTCGAACATTTGCCCAGTGGACTGCCGTTCGTCTTCTACCCGAACGTGTCAGCAGCCCAGCTGTGTAGAAGGCTGTGCTATTGGTACGGGGAAAGCACAGACAAGCGACGCACGAAAAATTTGCGATAGCAACAACTTCTAACTCATGACGGGTACCGGCCAAAAACAACTGCATACGAAAACCTAAATTCTAGTTGCAGTAGGTCGCCTTTTTAGAGCAGTATCGAGTGCGAAGGGTCCGTGTCTGGGCGCACCGGACCATGGGGGCAACACGGCCGGCCGGCGGGGACCAGGGGCGCTCACCGCAGGGTGGAGAGCGTCTCGTCATAGTTGATGTCGGCCGGCGACAGAGCAGCCACCATGGCCGTCTTGCTGTTGCCGCCCAGGTTCTCACGTAGAAGCCAGGTCAGCACCGAGTCCCGGTACGGAATAAACTCGGCCTTTTTCTTCTTTTTGGACGCCTGTCGGCCACACGCCAGCTCAGGCCGACACCGCTCCCCTTGCTAACCAAGGGGGCCACCAGAGCTACTTCTTCATTTGTGATAGCGCATCGTTAGCGACCTAATGAAGCTGACTCACATGATCACACAAGGCCAAGTTCAGGCCGCTGTGTCGCCCTTGCAATTTCTTTGCCGACAAAACATGCAGCTCTGGTTCCATTTTGTGTGTCATGTGAAAATAGCAAACGACGTGGGCCACTGGTGCCTATAAGTATGCTTTCTAGCATGAGTTTCTGCACGGTCTGGTTCCGTGACCTCTGAACGGACGGCATGTCTCGTCCAAATGTGGGGGTCGCCGCGCTCGGGCGCACAATAAGCCTACACTCGCCGGCCGGTGATCGGGGGCTGTGGCATGGCCAGCCAGCGGGGTTGCCGGCTGCCTCGGTTGACTGACGGCAGCTCCGGTTATGGCGGTCATTTCGGCAAGATCTCACATACATCGCCGGCTGGAGCTTCAGCTCGGGCCCGACGGTTCGCGACAGCCCCTGGCGCGTTGTTCGAGCTCGGCATATTGCAGGGTTACGAGTAGGCTGACGCTGCGTTTACAGCCGAGCCTGCCATGCCCCGCTTTATGAAATACGTACAGCCCAACGCGCTATAGGTCCTTCAACGGCGGAGGCTTTGGCGTTCTTCGCTCGCTCATTACCATAGGAAGCTCCTCAAACATCCCCATTGCAGTGAACTAATCACTCGCATCACGAGAACCAGAACCACCCCAAAGACCGCTATTCGGTGGATGTCACTGCAAATTGAATGTCACTGAGTCGCCTGGCGTATTAGACCAAAAGACGGTCATGCATTCGCGTATAGCGTCCGTACGGGTATCCCAGTCCGCACGTGCATGGCGTTATTCACGCATTGAAAGTCTATTTTAACATGCGGTTCAAATACAACTGTCATAAGAACGTGGCCTCCTCTACACTTCAGACCACATGGCCACGTCCATTGATTAGCCTAGCAAGGGACAGTCGTATTGCCAAAGGAGGTGTCCATACGGCTACCCGGAGCCAGCGGGGCTGGGGCTTCGCGCCAATGGTCCAATGACATCGCGCCGCTCGGCGACCTGGTTGGAATGTACGTACTGGTCAGGCGAAAAGGAAAACAAGGACGCCAGCCGATCTAGGCTAATAAAACGTATCATGTAGTACGATAACGACCGAAAAGTTTGTTGTAGAACGGGCCACAGAGTGCTTATGGCCGGCAAGAGACCGGCTGGGAAGGCAGGTCTGATAGTAATGTGGCTGCTTGGTCCACCTGACTATCGGGCGAGAACTGGTGCTCCGGGTCAGCAGGGGGACTCTGTCTGCAGGTCTGAGGGACTGGAGTCTGCGGTACTTACCGGCGCCGAGGACTGCCGCGAGGGAGGGGGGATGCAGCATCAGTACTACGGCACCGCTGCCCATTTTCATAGCGTCTGCTGACAATGTGCGGCACAGACTCTCATGCTTGGGGCTGGAATGATCAACTGATTAGCGCATCGGGCTCTCACGTGGCTAGTTCGGGCTCAAATACCGGCTGCTCCATGGCCCTGAACGCTAATATCCTAAGTGCAGCTGCTGGTGCTTCGTAAAAGGGGCGTGAGGACGTGCATCACTTCCCCTTAAAAAAAAAACCAACAAAAGCTCCTCCTGACTCCAGGTCTCGTCTGCGGAAATACTTGACATGCTCAGCCCTGTCTATCACACTGGAGAACTGAGCGGAGTAAGGTGCTGTATTGGGGTAACGCGATTAGGAATGAGTCACCGATACCCGCATCCCACGAAGTCATTTGCTGAGTGGACGCTCACCACTTCCGCCAGCGCTGAGATGACTTTCCCCAGAGTGGTCAGCGACTTGTTGATGTTGGCTCCTTCTTTCAGCCTGGTGCCCTTTGCGCCCGTAGAGTCAGCTCTTTCTGAGCCCGCCAGATCCACCAGTGATATTTTGCTGACCTAGCATCGAGGCATTCGGTCAGCCCATGTGGAGCAAAGGTACTTTGTGCGAAGGTCAGCCTATGTTGATCGCACGCAAGGTACGTTCCGAGTGGTGACAATACCCTAACCCCTCCCCCTATCTTGAAAACTGCGACATCTTCGTGACAAGGTCATGGACGCTGCGCAAACATTCCGGGTCTAGAAAAGCGGCTGAAGCTTTGCCAGCATCGACCGAATTGAAATTTAGGCGAAGCTTCAAATCACGCATGCATTTCACTACACGGGGCAAATGGCTGTTTCTAACCAGTTTCTACAGGCTGCGAGCACACGATAGACGCGGCATTCACGCAATAGACGCGGCATTCACGCCCTTCCGAGCGGCAATTCACGCCCTTCCGAGCGGCATTCACGCCCCTCCGAGCGGCATTCACGCCCCTCCGAGCGGCATTCACGCCTCTCCGAGCGGCATTCACGGCTGCGAGTGTGCGAACCTTCTACGTCTCCTCCAAACCAAGTACGGACCTTCTCTGTCTCCACTCCCGAGACGGGGTCGCACGTCTTCTGGGCAAATATGATGGTGAAGACGGCATGCGAGCGGCTGGACGTTTCGTTCATGTTCGTGGCAGCCACCGTTCTGTGAGCAGAGCGGACGGACCCTCAGTACAGGCCGCCCGGAGGTCAGCAGAGCCCGGTAATGTCAGCGGCATGGCGGCAATCCCAGCGTCTGGTGGGAGTGCCCGAAGGTCAGCAGGGCCCAGCAACGTGGGGTCCACGTGCGGTAATCCCGACACCTGTGGTGGAAGGGCTGCACGATCATCAACGTCGCTGTTTTGAGATATGAAATCCGACTGCCCAAGCTTGGAAAGCTGTGGTACAGAATCTGGGCCCAGGTGGTGCGAAAGTTTGTAATGATATGGCGAGGGTACACTGTATGGCACAATATAGCGCCAGACCACCACGCCGAGTCCGGCCACGGGTGGCCAGTCTGGACAGCCGAGTCTGCGCAATCTGCAGTGTGTGGTGGGAAGTCTGTCTCCCAGCCAAACCCGCCATTCCTGGCAGCCGAACGTTTGCACCGGCCTGAGAGCCCAGCCAGGAGGGCCGACTCAGGCTGCCAAACGCTCAATGGGAGACGGCAACGGACGAGCGGCGATTTCGAAGTCGATCTGGTTGGTGGTCCCCGTGGGACCCAGGAGGCTACTCGTGGCGTTTGACAGATTGAGCCGAGACGAGACTTTTAAACGCTATTCTGAGCAGCCCTATGTGTTCACAGTGGTCTTCCAGGAAACCCGTGCGACGCAGGACTAACCTCGCCTTGTTGCCCTGGTCCATAAGGTCGCGGATGTCTTCGTAAGATGTGACGGCCATCTTGGAAAGGTCCTCAACATAAGGTCCCAGCAGCGGGTGCTCTCGCACGCGCAGGTGACTCTTGTTCTTCGGGTTTAGCAGGTCCCGGACGCGCTCGCAGTAGATCTCCATGTAGCTGACCTTCGGCGCAGACGCAGGGCGGTCAGCGGTGGGCGACGCCGCATAAAGGCTACTCCCAATTTGAATGATATGCCGGTGCTCCAAAAAACATGTGCTTATTGCTGCAAAGTGCGCCTTGGTGAGCGATAGACAGGGAAAAAAGGGAGACGGAAGGATCGTACGAAAAGTGCGGTGATGCATGACGTACGCATCAGGAGATGTGCACATCCAGTTCAATGTTAAATTTAAATTCAGGTCAAATTCTTAGCCAGATTGGTGCTACCCTATTATAAATAGATGTTGACAATGATGCTAAATTACCTCACATGAATAATTTCTCTTGGGTTGTAACTGAATGATAACGATGTTGCAGATCTGGCTTCTTCCCAAGACAAGCAGGACTTCCCAAGGAATGTTTTCCTGGCGTACGCTTGTGTATCATTTGGTATGCAAGCCAACAACAATTTTCGATAGTAAAGCAAAGAATAAAAAGGATCAAGCATTCCGAGCAAGCTGAGTTACTCAGACTCACTGCTAAAGTTTGTTTTTAGACGCCCGTTAGGTCATCCGGCACTTATCCCCTGTTGACTGCATGTTGATATCGCCAAACAGATTAGAAAACTCAATTTTATGGAAAATTTGTGCCTGGCATTTGGGTGAACTGGTTTGAAATGGTTAATACTAGCATTAATGCAGTGCCTTGAGGTAGATACAGATCTAGGTCGTAATTTAGCAAGCTGTCTGTATCTCGGCGCACCAAGCACGGCTCTGAGAGGCAGACGCTGCCCGCGAGCATTGGATCGCCAGATCAACGCTCGTTTTCCCAGTCACGTGCAAGGCTGGTTCGATCAATGCACTTATCATGACAAATGGGTTATTTATTTTGCCGCGGTTCAGTGAGCTCTTTCGAAAACAAAAGTTCAGATGCTATGCCAGAATTTTTCTGGGTTCTATAGAGATATTGAGGGTCCGTCAACATAGGTTACAAAAAGAAATGGGGTCAATGGCCACCCGATGTTCTTCTGACTATGCTCAACATTCAGTCAAATTCAGTCAGATTCAGTCAGAATCGACAAGTGAGAGCAATTATTTAACATAGATTTGGGTATGCGCGCTCGCAAGTTCTAGGAATAAAAACTTCGACGGCCGGCGCAACAGTCACCGTGGGACGCGTGCCATTGGCCCTGCGGCTAAAATCAAGCCGGGGCCAACGAACGGTCGAAAATGCTGTCGAATGTGAAATGCCTTTGAACGTTTCAAGGCATTCACCTGTGCCATTTACAGATTGATGATCGGAACGTATTAGCATTTACAGCACTGCGATTTGGTGATGGAATCTTGCGGTAGAGCTGGAAGAGTAAAGGCAGGAAATTTATTTTCGTGTTGCTGTGTTTTGAATAGCAAATTTGTTCAGAAGATAACCCCAAATTATCAAGATCAGTTGCACGCCCAAATCGCATGAGCTTTATGACTTTACGAAGTTCTGCTTTAAAGCGTATGACCTGATGACTTCCGGAGGCGTTATGTCACGATGAACGCTCCCGTGTGCCCGGTGCTCTCGTGTGCCCGGTGCTCTCGTGTGCCCGGTGCTCTCGTGTGCCCGGTGCTCTCGTGTGCCCGGTGCCCGCCGCCTGGTGCTCTCTGAAGCGGGCAACGGCGTTTGGCTTTGCAGAAAACGCTACCCCATAGCTGTTCTTGCTCATAAGGCTGCGAGTGGCTAGGTTCAAAATATTTTATATACTTGTTTTACAAATCGACTTTGCGAAGAGTGAATGACCTCAGGTAGACTGTTTGGCCCTTTTCACTGTTGACGCTATTTTAATCTACTCTGTTGAACACCAGTGAGACTCATTACCTTTTTTTCTGGTTAACGGGCTCCGTGGATAGAATACTAGGGGACACACTATCGCCCCAGCCAAAAGCTGAAGAGCCATTCCGTCCAGCGTGGGGTGCGGACCGACTAACCCTCTGACAACACGGAGACGTGTCTCTTGGGCGATCCGGAGGCCATTAAAAAGACATATCATGGGTCGGCCCCGCCCTGACGCGGGAAGCCCTCTGAACGGGACAGTTGGCCCCAGTCGATGCAGAAGCCCTTGCTGGAGCAACGAGTTCCCCAATTGCCGCAGTTGGTCCCATAATTGACGCTCAGAATCTAATGAGCTTCAAAAGCCCTTACTTGGTACGGGGGTGGAGGTACCCCGTTCGGTACTGAGGGCCCTGATTGACACAGGGCCCTCCATTGTCTCATTGTAAACTTTCACACTAAAACCTTTGATCTCCTTTCGCTGTCAGAGGGTCCCGACAAATGCAAGAGGCCCTCTTGAAGTCTGGGTCCTGTTCCGGTCCTCTCTCTATTTAGCAAAGGTTCTCCTGGCTGACTGGAGGGGGCCCTCAGGACCCCTCATTGGGCTCCCTTCGGGTAACCTCGAACATGGCCTCTGGCCGACTCGAAGCCACTTGCCGACACGAAGCGAGCTGTGCGGTGCTGGTTGTCATCGGCCGCTATAGTACGAGCCGGAATTTCAAAAGTGACTTACAGCCAGCACTGTACCTTACATTCAGGCCCTTCATAGTCATGAATCGTCAGTCCCAAGAGACCCTTCGGCCCCTCTTCGGGTCGCCTCGACCACCACCCGTGGGCGACTGGGGGCCTCTCACCAGCGCAGTACAGTACCCCCTACCTCCCTACAGTACCCCCTGTTATGCACTGGGGAGCCCAGACCAATGCAGCGGTTCCTCATTGACTTCGGCGTCGCGACCGATGTAAATCGCAGCTCCGCCTGTGTCCCTGCTTAGGAAATGGGCCGTCATGCCCAGACCGACACGGGGCCGACTGTTCGGTAAATGTAGTGCCTACCTGACATAGAGCTCCAGGGTGCTCCCATCGCAAAGTGACCTCTGACTGACATTTGGGGGCCGAGCCCTGCGCGCCTGGTTCCTTAATGCAATTTCCAGCCAGCTCTTTGGACCCTAAATCCTTGGTCGCGAGGGGCTCTTCGGCACCTCGGAACCTAAGGGAGGGAGAGTGGGGGAGGGGGGGGGGGGGGCACGGGCCCCCTGTGACCTCCCCACGGCTTAAGCCGCTGCGAAGGTGTTATGCATTGGCATCTCCTAAAGCGCCACCACAGTGCTAATATTTCGGTGCCGGGACAACCAGACACAAAATGCCGACTGCTTGTGGAGTCTGCACAGCCACGAGACAGAAGGCATTCTAGCGCAAGGTACGCTAATGGGACGTTCAGCGCACAAACAAACCGGTTTTTAGAGTTGCGGTATTCAAGAGCCATCTCGGAGTAGATACAATGACAATGTGGTCCAGATAGCCGCGTCGCATGCCCCTCCCACGACAGGCGGTAAGTGCGGCCATGCAGCCAGCGACACTTTCGAACACTGCCCCTGGGCGAATCGGAGGCTGTTGTCCCACGATACATTGCCATACATAGGTCAGCGATCAATCTGGTGCTTGAAGCGGGTGAGCCAGCTGTTATTGGCATGGAGGTTTAGGACTGTAAAATGTCTAGTTTGGTCTAGACTAACCTCCACCGATATCTGGGCGTCTATGTCATTGCTGTTGGACACCCGTTGGAAGAGGTTGCGGCAGATCCTGGGGATGATGCCCTCCTGGTCGTGCTCCGCCTTGCCCATCATCGTGTACGACTTCCCGGCCCCTGTCTGGCCGTAGGCGAATATGCACACGTTGTAACCTGTGTGCAGATCAAAGGCATGCATCAGGACTTGTCCAGGGCGTTTGAAGACTGTCGTTCGATGTACTGACTTCAAATGGACGGAACGTCCAGGACGCCGAGAAGATGTGAATAATTGCATTATTAACTACAGGAAAGCCCAAGAAGAGCGGCGCGTACTTGGAGGTGTAGGAACAGCCCCGAACCTCACATCGCGCCAATGGGATTTACATGGGAACTAGCGACGGAATACGCACCACATCAAAAGCTTAGAAGCAGTATTGAGCCATACTGGTTAATCAGAAAGATGTCCGAAAAACTTCACGATATGCTTCACGTAGCTGATGGACCGAGCGACCTCAGTACACAACGGATCGGCTGTGCCAGGACATTGCGACATATCCTGGAGACAAATGGCAAGTCAGGGCATTGCTGAACCGCATCGCTGGATTGTGCTCATCAGCTGTGTGAGCTAGCGCTGCGTCACCGGTGTTGACTCCGGCTCTGATAGTGGCTGCGAGCGGGGGAGGACGCCATTTCACGTGGGGCGTGACCGCAGTCGGGTCGATCAAGCCAGCTGACGTCAGCCCAGAGGGCAGCGGCGCTTGACTCCGGAGCCGAAGGTCAGTTGGAGGTCAGGCGGCGTCTCGGCCGGTGAGAGGTCGGCTCGACGCCCTCACCGGCCGCCCGTCGTCACCATCCAGCTGCTGATCGGCCGCCGCCGCTCGCCCGTCGGAATCGCAATGACCGCCAACGGCACGTGACGAGAATGATCGCAATCATAAAAGTGGACGGAGTCGGAATGTGAGGCCACTGTCCTGGGAAACGGGGACCACAACACCTCGGCTGGTGTGGCGGAGTGGAACGGAAGGTACGTACGTAAACCGGTTCGGAATGCTTGCTTCCCTATGGAACAGTCACTACCACCAAACGCATTATAACGCTGTTCCCGACGCATTATAAAAAGGTTACCGAAAGGGACAAAGAAACAAACCCGCCTCAATCCACTCGAAATCCCGCAGGCATAAAAATGGGTGCGTACATGTCAACAAATATCTGAACAAACAAGCGCAGTCATTCTCATGCACACGGAATGGATTGCTATCACGCTATGCACATGCAATGCGATGCCCGCCGCTTGCTGGTCGCATACATTTACAGGAGCAATGGACGAGCTTCCGTAATGGACCAAAGCATAGCGCGAGTGACATGAAACACTACACAATCGGTTACTTGGCTTCACAATAATCACCGTAGTCACGGACCTCAATCTACTTTTAACGTTGTGTCACAGGACGACATTTAGTCAAACGATAAAGACAGACCTCGAAGGCTGCTCGAGATCTAGCGACCTTTCAGGGCATGACGTGACCCTAGCCCCCAACAATCAATCCGCAGCGCGCCGGGGCAGCTTTTGACGCAACGTACCTTGAAACGCGTGATCCAGCATCTCAACGCCGATGTCCTGGTACACCCGCTCTTGGGAGGGCAAACTGGGGCGCCGATGGCTGAAAATGCAACCACCAACAGTCAACTGACAGCCACCCGCTCTTGGAAGGCAACTGGGGCGCCGCCGGCTGAAAATGCAACACCAACCAGTCAACTGATAGCCACCCCGCTCTTGGATGGCAAACTGGGGCGCCGACGGCTGAGAATGCAACACCAACCGGTCAACTGACAGCCACCCGCTCTTGGGGGGCAAACTGGGGCGCCGACGTCTGAGAATGCAACACCGACCGGTCAACTGACAGCCACCCGCTCTTGGAAGGCAAACTGGGGCGCCGACGGCTGAGAATGCAACACCAACCAGTCAACTGACAGCCATCCGCTCTTGGGAGGCAAACTGGGGCGCCGACGGCTGAAAATGCAACACCAACCGGTCAACTGACAGCCACCCGCTCTTGGGAGGCAAACTGGGGCGCCGATGTCTGAGAATGCAACACCAACCAGTCAACTGATAGCCAGCCATTCAGACAGCATGGCCCTAAACTGCCAAGGTATTGGTCCATATTGGCTGCCCCTCAGTTAACTACCAGCGCCGAAAATATATTACCTGCACCAGTGAGTTCACCTGCATCACACAACTAGCTTCTCGAAGTCATGGCGATCACATGTATTTACATGACCATTTCATGGCCACTAGCTGATCACCTCCAGCTCTGGTGCGACAGTGTAGAATAACACGCGTGTTCATTGCCACTGTCCGCCCATGCCCCCACATCAAGGTTTGATACCTACATCAGCCGAAATATACATTTTCAGCGCATCGTTTGGCGACCTGTGTCAAATACGCCCCATCCAAGGAGCTTATTTGATAAGGGGCGTGAATTTCGATGCATGCACCCGTGGCGGGGTGGGTTCGACTCGCGTCAGGTGCTTGCTATTGGGCCCTGCCTGGGACGGCTTGTGGTCGGTGGCAGTGGCGGCGCTAGGTCAGGTGACGTCGGTGGGCAGGACAGGCCGTACCGAACGTCGCGGCAGGTGAAGCTTTCGTCCTGAAATGCTGCCATCGGCGCGGGTCTCCTCGATGGTAGCGTCAGGGTTACGCAACAACAACTGCTTAGGGTGGGCGCCGATCCCACAAATTCGTCCAGTCAAAATGTTTGGACCAAATCTTTAACAGCATACGTTCTTGGACAGCATAGCATATTCACATCTAGCAGCAGGCTGCGAAGTTACTAGTCTGAGCAAACAGATCACTTGTGTTGGGTTCAGTACTAGCTCCAAATAGTGATAAGACAATGCCTGTTTACAAACAATGTCATCCACCGGCAAACAAATATCATACCGCATTTGGTGATCATCACGCCCTCTCCACCATTGTAGTCTAACTTCCGGAGGATGAGAGGATGCGTTGGTGTTAACTACTGCACTATAAGGTCATGCGTCCTTCCACGTGGCGTTGGATCACCTGTGCCGAGATCTTCGGTGGCTGTGAACTCCAGCCTTAACAGCGCACATGGCACGAGTCGTCGGGGCGTGGTCTGGCGTGACGTCACGAGTCGGCGTCACGCCCACGTCAGCAGCGGGATATGTCTTAAGTGACGGGTTGGCGATGGTGGCACTCGCTCAATACAGGGCCACTGAGCGCTAGTGCTCGAAAGGTTCCCGAGGTCTGACGCGGCCGGTGCCGCTCAGGGCCTTTATCACCGAAATAGACCGGTCGATAACCGGCGAGCAGAGGCGCCAAACAAGGCTCCGGCGGGCAGAGGCGCCAAACAAGGCCATTACACCGAGATCGAGAAAATAACGGGTGGCCTTCACCAGAACAGCTGTTTTTGGACAAGAAGCGCGTCTCGGTGAAGCAGTGATAACGCTGGCTCGCTGAGATTAGCCGATCCGTTGGATGAGCAGCGTCCGGATTAAACCCCAGCCATGCACCAAAGGCCATGCAGCGGGCCTGGGCGCCAGTGACGTTTAAGCCGAGGGCATTGACCGCGGCCAAAGCTTTGATCTAAAGGTCAGGCGACAAGCGCATGGCATATGCCAGCTTATCGTCGGCTGACAATAGGTCCCAATGCTGGCGTATACCACGGAGCAAAAGCAGTGCTACATTATACCGTTGACAACGATACAGGCGAGCAATAAGAGGGAAACAGGGTGCGTATGTTGCCTTAATTGCCCCCAAAATTAGCAGGTGGGATGGACAAAGAGTTCCATAGGCGACGCCTTATATCAGTGAAGAGTACCGCACAATTGGTAGAACATCACAGGATAGCTGTGATCTACAGCGGTTGAAGAGTACCGCACAATCGGTAGAACATCACAGGATAGCTGTGATCTACAGCGGTGAAGAGAACCGCACAATCCGTAGAACATCACAGGATAGCTGTGATTTACAGCGGTGAAGAGAATCCAACAATCGGTAGAACATCAGAGGATAGCTGTGATCTACAGCGGTGAAGAGTACCGCACAATCAGTAGAACATCACAGGATAGCTGTGATTTACAGCGGTGAAGAGAACCGCACAGTCGGTAGAACATCAGAGGATAGCTGTGATCTACAGCGGTGAAGAGTACCGCACAATCGGTAGAACATCACAGGATAGCTGCGATTTACAGCGGTGAAGAGAACCGCACAGGCGGTAGAACATCAGAGGATAGCTGTGATCTACAGCGGTGAAGAGAACCGCACAATCGGTGGAACATCAGAGGATAGCTGTGATCTACAGCGGTGCAGAGTACCGCACAATCGGTAGAACATCAGAGGATAGCTGTGATCTACAGCGGTGCAGAGTAACGCATAATCGGTAGAACATCAGAGGATAGCTGTGATCTACAGCGGTGAAGAGAATCGCACAGGCGGTAGAACATCAGAGGATAGCTGTGATCTACAGCGGTGAAGAGAATCGCACAATCGGTAGAAAATCAGAGAAAAGCTGTGATCTACATCAGTACAGAGAACCGCACAGTCGGTAGAACATCACAGGATAGCTGCACTCAGCACTGCATATGTGAGCGTTGAAAAGGTTCATTGTACATACTGCCGGGTTACAAGTCACATTTCAAGCGAGTTTGCTGGACCTTACGTTATGAACAGAGGGCAGTTTATCTAAAATAAAACCCGATGCGAAAATTTAAAACAAGTTTATTTTCACACCTGTGGATGTAGCTTCGTTTCCCTATGGAAAAAGGCTCCTTAAGAGAAAAGGAGCACTCCATGCCCAGGTAAATGTCAGGACACTCATGCATTCATAATTGGCAGAAAGCAAGGGCGTAGTGCGCCTTCTACGGCTCTTTCTCGTAACGATCAAATCATATCACTGAAAATGCAAACAGAAAGGAGATGTGTGCCTACCAAAATGGCTGACATCAATGTAGGGATAGGAGTGCCGCGAGCACCCGTTTTTAAAAGCACAACGCCAGGGGAGAGTATACGCACAGGAAAAACAGCTTGCGGCAAGCGGAACTCCATGTACTCTGCAAGCCGAACCGAACGAAACCCCAGTATGGGCAAAGCGGCTCCGGGGGTCGCCTGCGGCCAAAAAAAAGACAAAAAAAACCAACTGCGCAAGGTTTTGAATGAGCCCTATGGGGAGTGCAAGACCGGCGGTCATCGTAAAGGACGGTGAGAGCAATTTTCCCTGGATGGTACCAATGTACCGCTGATGTTGCGGCAAGCTTACGAAAAACGCTGCTAGTGAGGACTAAGCAGATACATCCAAACCTACCTCCGCGATGGCGGTGTCCTGGTGTGGCTCGATCTCGCCAAACGTCATTATAAAAAGCCATCACACCTGAATTGGAACTGCGCGCCAAGGGCACTGGAACTGAGCATCAAAAAGCTAGAAATTCCAAAGGTTTCATGTGCCGATTATCAGTCTGGTGTACCTAAGACTCAGCCCATAACAAAGTTTTAGACCTGCTAAAAGGTCAGGCCTACAAGGATGGCCTTGACGCCAGAAATGTTTTGTGAACCGAACAAAAGATGAGCGCCAAACCAAGGTAAAGCGATACGAAGATACATAGCTACATGAAAAAACTTGAGCTGAAGGCGCTGTCGAAGGGGCAGGGACCATGGATCACCCCTAGAGTACTGAGCTGAGGGCGCTGTCGAAGGGGCAGGGACCATGGATCACCCCTAGAGTACTGAGCTGAAGGCGCTGTTGAGGGGGCAGGGACCATGGATCACCCCTAGAGTACTGAGCTGAAGGCGCTGTCGAAGGGGCATGAACCATGGAACACCCCTAGAGTACTGAGCTGAAGGCGCTGTCGAAGGGGCAGGGACCATGGAACATCCCTAGAGTACTGAGCTGAAGGCGCCGTCGAACGGGCAGGGATCATGAAACACCCCTAGAGCACTGAGCTGAAGGTGCTTTCGGATGGGCAGGGACCATGGAACACTCCTAGAGTACTGAGCTGAAGGCGCTGTCGAACGGGTAGGGATCACGGAACATCCCTAGAGTACTGAGCTGAAGGCGCCGTCGAACGGGCAGGGATCACGGAACGCCCCTTGAGCACTGAGCTGAGGGCGCTGTCGGATGGGCAGGGGCCATGGAACGCCCCTAGAGTACTGAGCTGAAAGCGCTGTCGGATGCGTACCCATAGAATACTGAGTGACGGCCAAGCAGTTTTTGTGTTTTCAATGTTATGAGCATCCTGTTACAAAACCGCCGGGATGGTAAATGTGTTAAAAAAGTCTCGTCTCCTTCTGGTAACATTTTGACATATGGTTTGTGTCGAAGCGATCAAAACTTAATATGACGCACTTCACACCCGCCACCGAGCTGCACAGCACTCTCACAGCCTTGAATATCGCCAGGACCACAAGTGAGGTAACAATAATGCACCCTGAAAACATTGCTAAGACCACAACAAGGCACTCGATGGCTTAACGTCACCTATCTGCTTTGAAGCGGTGCGTGACCGTACGGACTACGACCAACGACCAACGAGGACTACGACCAATGAGGCCATGACGGCCGGCATCACCAGCACCTGGTGACCGCTGTCAGGCGAGGCCGTACGTCACCAGCACCTGGTCACCGCTGTCAGGCGAGGCCGTCACTGTCACCAGCACCTGGTCACCGCTGTCAGGCGAGGCCTTCACAGTCAACAGCACCTGGTGACCGCTGTCAGACGAGGCCGTACGTCACCAACACCTGGTCACCGCTGTCAGGCGAGGCCGTCACAGTCACCAGCACCTGGTGACCGCTGTCAGGCCAGGCCGTACGTCACCAGCACCTGGTGACCGCTGTCAGGCGAGACCGTCACTGTCACCAGCACCTGGCCACCGCTGTCAGGCGAGGCCGTACGTCACCAGCACCTGGTGACCGCTGTCAGGCGAGACCGTCACTGTCACCAGCACCTGGTGACCGCTGTCAGGCGAGGCCGTTGCTGTCACCAGTTCACTATTAACTCTTTGAAGACAGCTTACCCACCATTCGGCCCACAAGTGGTAATTCGTGAGCCACCCGCGTGTAGCTTACCTCAATTGACCAATATGAATAGTCGAAGTTGAAGCTCTTGATGTTGTCGTTGATTTGTTTCGGATTGGTGATAACTGAAACAGACGTTTACGTAAGACTCAGTTCCACATGGGCTCACACACACGCACCAGCAAGCCACGTATTGAAACTAATTATAAGGCCCAAGGATTGTTTGTTTGTATAGACTCCATAGGTACCTTGAGGGTCATATCTTACAAAAATATGCGGTGGCCAGTTTGATCTGATCTGGTCAGCAAACAGTCAGCTGGCTTAATAGCGCCACACTTGATAATCCCACATCGGATGCGATACGTCCGGCCTTCCAGCCAATGTAGACCTTTAAATTGTTCTGACTTATTCCGGTCCGGTGTTGTTTTACCCTTATAAGCAATGGCACAGGAAACAAGAAGTCCAACCGCTTAAAAAAATACAACGCGTCATTTTTTATTCGAGCCTTGCGTGATTGTGCGAGCTTCTAACAAGCAGCCCGACCCTGAGCAGTCCCAAAAGTGCGGCGGCACACAACGCCTGCCTTCAGCCCCGGGTCACCCAAGGCACGTGGGCAGGCTTGTTGACGCCCCGGAGCCGGGCACGGGCTCATTACCCGCCACCACTGCTGGCGAGACGGCCGGCGCGAGCGCTGAGACGCGACAAACACACTCCCAGAGATGGGTATTGTGATGCCGGGGAGAGTCACGCCTGGCGGCGAGCTCGAATAGCAGGTATTGCCGACTGGCAGCGGGGACACGCGCGGTGTGCTCCGCTAATCTCCAGACCCGCTTCAGAGAGAGGGGTGCTGATCTCGAGCGCCGCTTCAGTGGGCGGGGTGCTGATCTCGAACGCCGCTTCAATGAGAAGGGGTGCTGAGCTCGAGCACCGCTTAAGCGAGATAGGGGACCCATGGCTTCAGGGTCAGTAGTCAAATTCCTCCGTCTTAGATACGGGACGATATGACAGGATATGTTAGCGGCCTCATCATTGTTATGGTATATTGTGGAAATCTGGTAGCAATATATTTATATATATATATGTATATATATATATATATGTGTGTGCATGTGTATATATATACATATATATATATATATATATATATATATATATATATGTATATATGTATGTATATATATGCACATAATATATATACGTATATTGTCACGACGACACCCGTCCCAGCTCTTTGACAATAACGGGCACGCATTCACGGAGTCCGTCGCTCGCGGTAGTACGGCCACACAGAGCAATTATACGCTTCTTCCTCAGCCCACCAATGAATCGAGCTTAGGTTCATCGCATTCTTGCTTCAAACTGACTCCCATAACTAAACGGCGTAATTGAAAGCACGGCCTGAGCGCGGCGCGGCTAGACGGGGCGTGAGCCGGCCCCCGGCCGGCGGCCCGCGGGCCTGCCGCCGCCGAGTCGGGCCGCCACCCCCAGGACCGTCCGGCGCGTCACGGCTGCTGACTCACGCGGCACCAGCGACGGGCGTCGCCGGCCGGACCCGGCCCGTCCAGACGGCGTCACCGGCATCGATCAGCGGCGCCGGCGGCCCGGCCGACCCGGCGGACCAGGCCGACCCGGCGGTGCCTCGCCGGCCGGTGTCGCTCGCCGGGTGGGCCGAGGCAGCCTCCCACGCTTGGGCACTGGCGTCTTCCTGACACGGAGCGACGCGCTGGACGGGTCCATAAGGAGCGCGAGGACAAGGACAAGGAGCGGCGCGAGACAAGTCTTCTGTCCCCTGGGGCCCCGTCTCACCCCAAGGGTGACAACTCCCTCCCAGGGGCGGGCACTGGTGTTTCTCTGACGTCTCTCGCGCCCCGCGACACAAGTCTTCTGTCCCCGAGACCCCGTCGCACCCCTGGGGCGATAACTCGCCCCCAGGCACGAGACAACAATGGACCCTCATTGGGCCAAAACGGAGGTACTGGTCATGCATCGGCTCAGTATTTGACTATTTTCTGGTGTCCAGGGATGGTCCGGATAATGCTCGATGAATTCCCTGAATGTTATGTGAAGGTCAGATCAGGTCAGAGTCAGGTCCAGGTGAAGCTGGACGCAAATACGATCTACACACTTGTGAAATGTACATTGACTGGTTAAATGAACCAAGTATAAATGCGTGGGGAAGGGAATAGCCACAGGAGGCGAAAACATAGGAATCAATCACCCAAAAAGACAAAGGAATAGGAATAAGGAGAATAGTCGGCAAGCCACGCCAAGAGTCCTTTGCGAGAGGTGCACGTACACAAGTGCCCGACGGGCTGCGCAAACAGAGTGGATGCAGAATGTAGGGACTCCACTCACTTGTGGTGTTTCCATCCATCTCGATGATGCCGTCGCATTCACGGCTGACCTCGCGGGCATTGAAGGGCCGGACCCGGACGGCCACCTTCACGGACGACATGGCGCCGTCGACCGCAGCGACGCCTGGCGGCACAGACACGAAACATGTCGGCCGGTTCGCCCAGCTACGTCCAGCAGGTATCAGCGCGGCAGCACCAACTCTAGCTTTCTCAACTGTATTTACGCGGTGGCCTTATGTGGAATTTTCATGTAGCTGTTTGTGGAGGGCTTTGTTTCGTGTTCCATTTGTGTGCTGGGCACCAAATACACTCAGACTCAACAGAGACAGTCGAAACTGAGCGCAACCGTTTTTGGAACCATGTTTGCATAAAAGAACATCGATCTTGACGGCATAGAGTGAGCATAGGCGACGCCTTTCTGAGCGCCAGGGCAAGCCGGGTCCGGGCAGGCAATCAATGCCAAACCCGCCGTACATCGGCGCTATGCGGGATAGTTTACCACCAGCCGGCCGGCGACACTGACGCCATGCGGGATATTTTACCATCAGCCGGCCGATGGCGCTGACGCCATGCGAGATAGTTAACCACCAGCCGGCCGATGACACTGACGCCATACGGGATAGTTTACCACCAGCCGGCCGGCGACACTGACGCCATGCGGGATAGTTTACCACCAGGCGCCCGACGGCACTGGAAAGTGAATCCCAATAAAGCGAGTGCTATAATGGAGGCCACAGTGGCATGTGTAACTCTCGTTTTATGCACCACATATATGCACACACGCACACACGCACACACACACACACACACACACACACACACACACACACACACACACACACACACACACACACACACACACACACACACACACACACACACACACACACACACACACACACATATATATATATATATATATATATATATATATATATATATATATATATATATGAACATAGAATACATAAAAACCATAAACCACAGCAACTCAGCACGACCAAGGAGGAATTCGAACAAGTAATCCGGGTTGTGACGCATACATGGCTGATAGGCAAGCGTCATCCAGTCGTTCTCAGGATTCCATAACATCGGACGACGGCCGGAGAGTTGATTGGCCGAAACTATGTGTACAAACTAACTACCAGACGGGGGCGAAAGTCTGAATAATTCACAACTAGTCATCCACGATACAGTCATCCACAATACGAGAGTTATCCTCATACATAACGCTCATGTTGCCAAGTTTTATCTACATGCACCTAAGATGACCTGGCCTTACCGCATTTGACAGTAATTGTTTACCATGCGGTCCGATCGGAGAGAGCAAAACCATACTGAGAGTGCTCTTGGAGCCATGTTGGAAGCCATGGCAAACATGTGTTTTCAGTCATTACCTGAGAATGAAATGCAGCCTACTTGAATTGACATAAAGTAATTGTTCATAATAACCTATGAGCGGTTGAGTCTACAATTTTCGCAAACTATATAACAATTTGAGACTGGATATTCAGCTACCGGATATTTCGGCTTTATGCGTTCAGCAGCTGAGGCGTCATTCTGGGAAAGCTGGCGGACCTTGTGGAATTTGGTCGGCTGTCTGGCCGGGGACCGAATCTGGCCGTCTTGGTCGGCTGTGTGGCCGGGGACCGGATCTGACCGTCTTGGCCGGCTGTCTGGCCGGGGACCGGATCTGGCCGTTTTGGTCGGCTGTCCGGCCGTGGACCGGATCTGACCGTCCGGCTAGGGCTTACGGCATTGCTTTGGTACATTGTTGCGATATTCACGTTCATTAGCCATGAATGCCATCCGTGATATGGAACTACCGCCTTGACGCAGGCGCACGCACGTACCACGCAGACTATGCGGTGCACGGCACGCTGTGGGCTACAAAAAGGTGACCATTGGCACAGAGCTTTGAGCCCGGCACAGCATGTCAATGCCTCGTCACCGGCCGATAGCTCCGCAAACTGCAGCTGCCGGCAAGGGTCAGCCGGATGCTCTCCCCGGCCAGCGGCGCATCCCCTGCCGGCTGTCAGCTGAAGCGGCTGTAACTACGCAGAGCGTGTCCGATCTCTGACGCCCGACGCCGCCTGTCCGGCAGCACCGCACGGTCGTCATCGCGTGTCGTACCCGGTAGATGGAACCCGTTACCGGTAATTCCCGCAATCTTTTCCTGGCCTCCATTGCCTTGCCGGAGAAAAACGCCAGCTCTTGGCTGAGCTTCATCACGCGATCGCTCGTTATCGCCCGGTCACTGCCGTCGGATGCCCGCCGTCCGACGGGCGGCTGGTATGGCCGGGGGCGTGCGGGCGTGGGCGTCCCCGGACCATCAGCCGCGCCGGACCCGGACTTTAGCTGCACAGAGGCCGGCGCATCGATCAATAGCAGGGGCAGCGGGCGAGCGGCGGACGGATCGGGGCCAGGGTCGGGTCGTCCGCCTCCCCCTCCCCGCAGGAGCGTCACAGGGCGGGAGAGCCGGAGCCGCAGTCACCTACCCGGTGCGGATCCGCAGCCGTCCGCTTCGTCACAGAGCCACGGCGCGCGCAGCGCCCGAGACCGGGCCACGTGACGCCGAGGCTACGGTTTCCTAGATCAGTCCGGAAAACAGCATCCGAGACCGGGCCACGTGACGCCGAGACCCTGGTGCCCTAGATCAGCCAGACAGAAAACAATCAATCGAAGAGCAGTTTCGCCACGGAAGCAATGGGGCATGTTCTCAGTGGCTTGGGTCAGGTGGTGAAGAGGGCATAGCCTATGGCCACGATCGCAGATGAAACCAAGCTGGTGCCGGAGACGGAGTGGTCTAGAGAAGAACGATCTGCTGCTGGTGGCTGCACTGCCCCAAACTGCTTCTCCCTTCACTGCTGTCAGCACAGACATGCAGACAGACAACGACTATGTAGTCGGGCCATCCCACCAGCGAAACAATCCCATCGAAGGTGGTGACTGTTGTGACAGTGAGAGTCTTTGAGATAACACACAGGCTCAAAATGGAGGTGATACTGGAACTGTCGCCATCGACACAGAACCGGGCGAGCCTTGGCCGATCGTCGAACCAAGTCACCTTGAGCCAAGGAGAATATATAAATCGTTATTCAAAGATAGTTGGGAGTGAACAGAAAACATTTGGAAGCGGAACGCGATGGCCAGGACACAGCGTTCGCACAATCACAATGATCACACGTGCCCTTCTTAAACTGAGCCTCAACGGCAGTCTGGTTTGCCGCAGCATAGGTTCGAACGTTTTCCATCTAAAGAGAACTGAAGTGGTTTGGCAGTGCTTCGAATGTAACAGCGAGCTCTTGATCTTTATAATCCCCGTAAGTATTGCATGGTCAACGGTGAATAGCGAAAAAATGCATAGCCTATGTGAGAGTCAAATATTTAAAGTGCAATTGTGATATTATCGGAATTCTAGCAGCCCACTTCTGAACATGTAATACCAGTGTATATGGCCTAATCACCGCCTATAGGCATTATACGTTCTGATAAGCCGTAACCCGTGCTCAACAATGCGTGCCACATACCTGCAACTACGAAGTGATTGCCAAAGCGATATGGTGTGATGGGACGACGTCGGCCTACTGCGAGACGCCTCAGAAAGGCTGCCCTTACACACGTCAGTGCGGAGCGGGACGGAAGGAGGCACGCAAACCGTGAGCACCGCGAAAGGGCATCTGAAAAGCCTCAAATATCACGGACGATACACATTTTGTTAACACCAATGCTCGCGCCGGGTACGGTGGCGGACCGTCCGCACACAGATCATGTAAGAGCAGACCGACAGCGCTGCGCGTGCATCCTAGCTCCGAGCGACAGGCCATCCGTGCACGGATCATGTAAGAGCCGACCGACAGCCCTGCGCGTGCATCCTAGCTTCGAATCCCTTACTAGGAATGACCGGTGCCTAACTGGCTCGAATGCACTGTTCCTGATCGAAAACTTGTGGTCTCAATAAAGCCACAGAAAACTAGTTTGCCAATTGCTTGCTTTCACTGGCGCAAGAGGAGGAGACTTAAACAGTAGTCACCGTGACGGTACAATGAGCTGATAAACGCAGCCATAAGTCAACCAGCCGTGGTATGGCAGCGGCAACTCGAACTTGAGTGCAAACGTTTGTGATTTAGTAATGGTCTCGTTAAAAGACACATGATATGGCAGATATGCTTCACGAGCTTTCGCGACAGTCCCCTACCCTTGATATAAGTCACACGAACTTTAATTGTGCCCTGCAAGCTATTCGTGACGCTGCTCTCGTCCGGCGCGTGTACCGTTATCTGGAGACACAACCACTCCGCACAACTCGGGCCAAGCTCGTGCAAGATATCGATTGTCTTTGGGCTATTCGACGCATTAGCGTGTTAGGTTGGTCGGATTGCTCACGGAATTCGCCCACCGAGAAAAGGGTTGGTGGGCACAAGCTTCGTGACCACAAATCACCATTCCACTCAGGACACAGCGCGTACTTGAGCATTCACAGCACTCGGTCGCACATGCCATTTTTCGTCCGTGTTTTAGTTGCATCCATGCTATTGTTAGATCGTCCAGGTATTCTCAGTCTTTGTGCCATCGGTTTCGACCAAAGAAAATTACAGGTAGTAAAAAGTAAAGTAAGCAGGTAAAGTACAAGTGTCCGTAGACTTCTAACTTTTTGAAGAAAATGGGTCGGACTTTGGAGAAACCCTTGTTGAGATATTGTGTTGGTTGGTTTAAGTCATTTTGTTTTGCTCTTTCACCAAACTTATCTTGCGAAAATACAGCCCTGGATCTAATATGCATGAACTGGATTTAGGACTTAAGGACTGGAAGCGCCGTCGATAAATTACAGGAAAATAACTGGCCCGGCTGGCCTGCTGGAATGGGGACACTGTCTGCTTAGATTTCACATCAAAACATGAAGTCCTAGTAGTTTTGGAACGTAGTTTACCCATTCAAAGCTTTGATTGGACCGACTCTGCTTGTGCGATACCCCAGGTTGCTCAAATTGTTGGTTACTTCTCAATCCAGTCACCCCGATCATCGTCTTTCACGCCTCTTTGTCGATCATTGCATCCCGCATCCCTAATCACTAATATTGCCATGATAACACTTGAGATGAA